GGCAGAAAAGAAAGAAAAAGAAACAACGGCATGCATGGCCTGCCGGGGGCTGAACCGATCAGAAACACTGCTCTCAAACTCCCATCAGCCTTGTGTCAACCCGCAGGGGGACCGTGAGAATTCAAAACACGCATCCCCGGCCAAAACCAAGAAACGCACCACTGTCCGCCCCTCGCCAGCTGCCTCTCTATTATGTAAAGGTCCCACCGGCTGTCAGTCACGCCGCAGGATGCTCGCATAGCTAAACAGCCCCGGCGCATTATGAAAAGAAACAAGAGGGCAGAAAGGCAAAACAGCCAGCGTGTGAAAATGCTCAGGGATGAGACCCAAAGGTCGCGGACTCGACTCAGGCAGCCAAACCTTGGACTGTTAGTCAAATAAGCACTTGATCACTGAGACAAAGGGTGATTTGACTGAAGCAAGACTAGTTTGTTACCCTGGTGAACCGTGCCCACCTACTGCGTGATTAACAGTCAGAGTGTGATGAGCTACAGCATGTACTTCTTACAGTAAATGACAGAGGGAGGGGTCGTATCACCGTACCTTGCCAAATCGTGAGGAGAAGGTTCCCGTGAGGAGCGAATGGAAAATGATGATGGTTTCATCCAGGTCCCAGATAAACACACGCTGCAGGGAAATAACAGATATGTAATGTTAACCTCATGAACGTTTGTGTGTGTGTGTGTGTGTGTGTGTGTGTGTGTGTGTGAGAGACAGAGAGAGAAAGATAAATATTGTAGAGAAATACTGATAATTTTCAACACTGTGTGAACGTGTGTTGACCTCTATATCAGAGTCCAGAGGTGGAGCGGGGTCACTGACTCTTTTTCTCCCTCTAAGCTTCCCATCTGACCCCCGTCGTGCTGGGACCCCCTCCTCTTTACCTGGTGTTGGGGGGCTGGGCGGCGGGTGGTACTCTCCTGGAACACACACATGTAAAACAATAATCAGTCTCTAGAAAACAACCCCAACAAGGTTCAGACTCAAAAGTATGTTGAAGGAGAATAAAAAAGATGCTACTGCGTTGCATTATGGGAAGTGTAGGATCCAAGGTTTTTGGAGCCAGGAACTAAAAGTTACGATATCTCTGTTACAAAACCGATGATTGGTTATTTTTCTTTTTTATCTGCCTCTTGAAAGTCGCCCAACTTTATGGAGGTGCAGGAATAAATCACTGGAACATCCCTTTAATATCATGTACACCACAATGAGAAAACAACTGCACATATTAGAAATAAAGTGAAACAAAAAGCACTCAAACAAAGCTTACACTTGTTTCAGTGTAATGGCAAAATGAATTTAAAATGGGATGAAAACTACTTTAGCAGGCACCTTTCCCCTGTTATTTTCCACTGTGTTTTTATTCATACATTCAAGCAAATACATCTCACCCTGTAGAGCACAGTCCATTTTTGTATGTGCTTTTGTTTAGTGTAAGGGTTGGAGCAGGGCTAAGCCCCTAGGAACAACACTGGGCTTTGAAGCCAATTTTGCATAGTGGCAAAACAGGGGATTATAACTTCTGGGTTCGTCACATGATGCCACTGGGCACAAAAGACATTTTCCTATAGACTTACACTGTCAGTGATTCGTTTGTAATGATGTATCTAAAGAGCAGCTTTGGACAGTCAGCCTTTTCTCATCCAGCAGCACACACCTGGAACACTGTTCCCATAGAACTGAGGAACATCACATCACATCTCTTATGTCATTCTCTAAATCAATAAAATTTTCATTTTCCTTAATGTGCTTTCTTTTTATGGTGATGTCACTGTCTTGCTAATAGTGCTTATGTGCTTTGCTTTGTGCCTGCTGTACTTTTGTATAACTTTAACTTTACTCGTCTGCCATAAGTTGCTAGTGCGCTTGCTCCATAGGCCCAATGATGGAGAAGATCCAGGTGTTGGGGCCCTGCCTCCAACACTGCATCCAGTTGTTATACACTGAACAAAAATATAAACGCAACACTTTTGTTTTTGCTCCCATTTTTCATGAGCTGAACTCAAAGATCTAAAACATTTTCTATACACACAAAAGACCATTTCCTCACAAATACTGTTCACAAATCTGTCTAAATCTGTGTTAGTGAGCACTTCTCCTTTGCCGAGATAATCCATCCCACCTCACAGGTGTGGCATATCAAGATGCTGATTAGACAGCATGATTATTGCACAGGTGTGCCTTAGGCTGGCCACAATAAAAGGCCACTCTAAAATGTTCAGTTTTATCACACTGCACAATGCCACAGATGTCGCAAGTTTTGAGGGAGCGTGCAATTGGCATGCTGACTGCAGGAATGTCCACCAGAGCTGTTGCCCATGAATTGAATGTTCATTTCTCTACCATAAGCCGTCTCCAAAGGCATTTCAGACAATTTGGTAATACATCCAACCGGCCTCACAACCGCAGACCACATGTAACCACACCAGCCCAGGACCTCCACCTCCAGCATGTTCACCTCCAAGATCGTCTGAGACCAGCCACCCGGACAGCTGCTGCAACAATCAGTTTGCATAACCAAAGAACTTCTGCACAAACTGTCAGAAACCGTCTCAGGGAAGCTCATCTGCATGCTCGTCGTCCCATCTTGGAGGTGAACATGCTGGATGTGGAGGTCCTGGGCTGGTGTGGTTACACGTGGTCTGCGGTTGTGAGGCCGGTTGGATGTACTGCCAAATTGTCTGAAACACCTTTTGAGACGGCTTATGGTAGAGAAATGAACATTCAATTCACGGGCAACAGCTCTGGTGGACATTCCTGCAGTCAGCATGCCAATTGCACACTCCCTCAAAACTTGCGACATCTGTGTCATTGTGCTGTGTGATAAAACTGAACATTTTAGAGTGGCCTTTTATTGTGGCCAGCCTAAGGCACACCTGTGCAATAATCATGCTGTCTAATCAGCATCTTGATATGCCACACCTGTGAGGTGGGATGGATTATCTCGGCAAAGGAGAAGTGCTCACTAACACAGATTTAGACAGATTTGTGAACAATATTTGTGAGGAAATGGTCTTTTGTGTATATAGAAAATGTTTTAAATCTTTGAGTTCAGCTCATGAAAAATGGGAGCAAAAACAAAAGTGTTGCGTTTATATTTTTGTTCAGTATACATCCATGGGTTAGGCACAATAAAGATCTAACTTCATGGTTAGTTGGAGGATGGGGAGGCACTTGTATGCATTGTTTGTCATTTAAAAAAACAAGAAAACAACTGAAATATTGTCACTCCTTACCTGTGTGTGACTCTGGGCTGTGATTGGGCAGCATGACGGGGTGTTCTGGATGCTGATAGGCTAACGGAGCTGTGATGGCAGCAGGGCTGATGTTGCTGCCGGCTAGGTAGGGGCTGTTGTAGTGATGTGAGTTATAATACGGAGAGTACTGACTCTGACTGTAGCTGGAGTACGCTGAAAACTCCTGTCGAAACATAAACAATGACTTAAATTAGTCAGTATCAATAAAATATGAACATTTTTACTCTAGAATGAGGCGTCCTACATTTAGACTGTATGATGATATAAGACAGTTGTGACAGTACCTAAATTAAGATGTTAATCGTCAGGATTGCTGTCAATTAAGGTATCTGTTTTTCTATATATCATTGTTGAAACTCTTCAGCTGTCTTGGCAGAAAAAAAATTTTGTGTTGAAATTACATTACTCACTTGTTGGGCAGAGTTGAACGGGGTTGAACTGGAGATTGCGTGGGTGCCTTGAAATATTCCAGATGAAATACCACCACCTGAAAAGTGATGTAAAGACAAAGTTTCAGGTAATAAATCATCATGCAGATTTTAAAATCACAAAAGAGATCTGGCTGCGTTTCATCTTGTATTGATGAATCCACCTCTGCTATAACTCCACAACTTTTGATCTGATCTGTGAAACTGCGTGGAGGAAGGAACGAGCAGTACACTTTGACCCCTTCCTCAGTGACAGCTCAGTGCTGCAGGAGCTGGGAGTCAGATTTATGTTTGACATAACAATACAGGTGGGAAAGTCGGCTGCTGCTGCTGCTGCTGCTCTGGGAATCTTCTCAGTCTGATCAAGCCAAGGCAGGAATGTCTTCCTCCAAGCAATTTCCTCCCACAATGACACTGCCTCACCCTACATCCTTCTGTCAAATCTGTCTATGCTGTTTGTTTGTCTGATTAATTATTTTTCTTGTAATCTTATCACCTCCACCTCCAGCATTTCTAATTTACATGCCACTCCCTCTGTTTGTCAGTTAGCTGGGTATCTCAAAAGGTTACCAACGGTGCAGCGATAGAGGAACGTAAGTGAACAGATACAGCACCTACTGACCATGTGGTGAAATGGAAACTAAAAGGCTAACAGCTCTAAGAGCGTAGGCTCAGGGACACAACATGCATAATGAGTTTAATTTAGTACTAGCACTTGCTAATTAGTCTTTGAGAAAAAGTGCAGTTGGGGTTGATAGGTATTTGGTCACTAACTAAAAGTGGTGTTTTTTTGCTTCAACTAAATGATATGTTGATTGTTGAATGGATTGGCTATAGAATAATGACACCATCAACATTTAGATTGGTTTCCTATAAAGGCCCATTCATGCTCAACGTTAGATACAGAGACGGAAAGGGAGATGGAGACTGATGGAGCCTTCTGTCCATTCTTTGCATTTCTGAAAGCTCATGGGTACAGACACAACAAAGCAGTACCACCGGATATCGCAGAGTGTGTGGTGTAGATCAAGTGAGATTCGACCGTCTAAATCATGTCTACATGTCAGAATCTATCTCGATGCAATTCTGTCTTCCACTGGGTGCAATCTCCTGGAAAAATGAAGGCTTGATTTTTACCAGAGGGAAGGCTGACCATTGCTACGACAGCTCATAATTTCGAAGCCCCAGTAATCCAAAAAATGTCCGAATGGACTGAAAGCCCATTTGGACAACAGCCTGATATCCCAAAAAAACACGTATATTGTCTGGAGGGCCCTTTCTGTGACGACATTCTCCCAAGCAGAAGCATGCGGCTAATTATTATGCAGAATGACATCATCGGATAGTCCACCTAATGGTGAAGGCGTGACCGGCCCTACTCTGCCTCTGATTTCCTGGTATTCATTACCTGTGTTGTTGTGGTGGTTAGGTTTAGGCTTGAGGACTGCGATTGGTTAAAGTTAGGTCAAGAATATCAGGGACAACCAATCAGAGGCAGAATAGGGCGGGTCCTACTGTTACCATAGTAGGAAGGTACAGTGATGCCATTCTATATAATAATTCTGCATAATAATTAGCCATGTGTGGGGGCGTCGGTAGCGTAGTGGATAGTGCCGGCGCCCCATGTATAGAGGCGATGCCTTGCTGCAGCGGTTGCGAGCTCAACTCCGGCTTGCAGCCCTTTGCTGCATGTTTTTTAGACTATTGAGGCTTCGTAATCATGGGCTGCCAGAACAATGGCATGGCACCCAAGGAAGTGTGTCAACCATTGTGCAACCAAAACCAGAAGTGGACAGTGCTTTTGTTTTTTTCCCTTGTAGCTATCAGTCCCCCAGGAAGTGTGCTGAGCTTTGAAGCCAATTGTTGTAGTGGCCAAACAGTGGTACTGCAATTCTCAGTGTATCACATGATGCAATTGGACCCGAAAAGACTTTCTCCCATTGACTTACATTAGGAAAGGGACATCTATAAATCATTGGATAAAATGTTTTGAGTGCCACAGCCCCATGAAATGGCTCGTTTTATCAAGATTTAATCAGTGTGGTCCAATAACATGAAGTGAGTCAATCGGCCAGTGGAAGTTGGCCCTTCGACCACACTCAGCAGCTGTAGGTCCCTAGTGCACCTGCTCTATGGGCTGAATGATGCAGAAGCAGTGCCAATCATCTGGGTAATTTCATACCGCAGAAGTAGAGCTTTTTGGCTTCATATGTCACTGAGTAATTTTCATAGGAATGGATGGGGCCCTGCTGCTAATCCTGTATACAGGTCTCTTACTGTAATACATCAGTGCTAGCTATCCCCAGTAACCAGGAAGAGTGTCAGTGTAAGTTCTTTGCAGTTACTATCCCCAAGTAGCATGAATGGCTGATGGTGGAAAAACCAAAGTAAGTGTGGAGAACAAAATGCAGTGTGTCCTGTGGTGTTGGTAGGCTTTTAGGAAATCAGGAAGGGACTCAGTTGTCATTGCGACAGTGGCGCCAACGATAGTACCACAATGCTAAAAAGTCGTTTGTTTTTGCCTTCAGTTTTGACTTGACAAACTTTTGATCTCCATGTTATTACAATTCATCCTGAGGGGAAACTGAAAGTCTGAATCAAACTTCATGACAATCCGTCCAACAGTTGTCAAAACATTTCACTCAAAACCACAAATTCCAACATCATGGTGGCGCTAGAAATAAATTAATCTTCTAGGAACCATACAGGTCTGAGCAGAATTGTGTGCCAATCCATCAACTAAGTGTTGAGATGTTTAACCAGATAAGTGAAACTTTTGGCAGCACCTGGTGTCTGTGTGGATTTCCCCGGGGTGTTCCTCCCACAGTCCAAAGACATGCAGGTTTGGTTAACAGGAGGCTCTAAACTACCAGCACTGTTATAGTCCGGTAACGTGTGGTGGCTGAAAGGGCCTGTTCTTGACAAGTAAGATCCTGACAGTTGCTTGTGCAGATATTTGTGTGCTTTGCAATTGGAGTATCAGCACTGAAAATGAAAACAGGTCAATTAACCTTTGCAAATAATTACTTTGTGGGTGGTTTTTATCAGGCCCAGTAGGAAGCTACAGTTAATACAAGTTTAAGTATCTGGCGGCGATGGTGTGGATAACAAAGAGTTACTCTCCTCTTCTCTGACACGAACCTGAACCGTCCTGAAATATTTTAAAGATTCGCTTCCTCAGGTCTACCCTCCATCATTTCCTCAGTCCACTACTGCTCCCCCTTGTTCCTCACGTCTTCTACTCCACTCCACAGTGCATGACAAACAGCAGAAAAATGACTCAATGGAAGAACCACACTGAAACCTCCCCGGACAACACAACAATCTTCAAAGCGACTAAAGGAAAAATACAGGAGGTCTCTGGAGTAAACACAGAAAGGCTTCCATAGTCCCCATTTGGTTTCAGTTGTACGCACAGTGTACAGTACATGTTTTGACTGCTTCTTGTGGTGTGTGTGTGTATGTGTGTGTGCCTGTGTTTGCGTGCTTGTGTATTGTGTACAGTATAATGGATGACATGGAAACATTCTGAAGTCCTACAAACATTTGGTTGTTGTGGCAGTTTATTACCGTTTGAAGTTTGCAGTTAATGATTTATGCATAAAAATATTCAAACAAATTTGTTTTGTTTGGGAACAGTGTCTTTCAAACTCAAACTACACTCTGTTAAAAAAACTGTTTGTTGGTTCAACAGTCATTGAGGGATCAGCAGTTTGTAAGAGGTTTCATCATAAGTGTGTTTACATGAATATTTACATTCCCGTATAATGTCTGACATCTGAATATTCTCTTAAAGAGGAAGTGATAGGGAAAACTATGGCTAAAAAACAGAAAAGAGATGGGGGTTACAATCTCCTCCTCATGTTCTGCTACCAGACTACTGAGTCTGGTATCTTGGAATCTTTCTAACTTTTAGGGCTGTCCCAAATACTGTTTTATGGGCACCGGAGCTTTGGTAGTAGGTCAACAGCAAATATTCAAAGCTTCTATCAGGATGGAGGAAGAACATTCCTTTTTTTACTATTTAAAAGAGGTAAAATCTTATATTATTGTAGAGTTATGTGCAACGTATTGATTCACTCAGAAACCTCCTTGCCCTGCTCTTGCTCTCTCTGCTAATCATGAGACTACTGCTGCAGGAGTGTGAGCTCTGTGACTTTTGGTAGGAGTCCGCCTGCACACACACAGTGACAGGGCTAACTGTTAGCATCATTCCCTGAAGGAGGCCAGCTTGGTACTGCATCGAACGGCAACAGCTGCTAGCTGTTTGTTCGGCGGGAAACCCCAACATCACAAAAAGACTCTATTCTGAGGGAAACACTGAATGCTCTTAATAGGGGCCGTTATTTTTGCACTTTCAAATTCACTGTTTTCAATGAAGACACACGGCAGGCGCACTCAAACGCCCATTTTTCAAGGTGTGACAGCTGCGCTTTGAGATAAACCGAGTTCAACTTTTGGAACATAGCAGCGCGCACTGCATGTCATGTGATGAGAAACAACCAATCACGGCTGACATATCTTTTCCTTCTCCGTAAACATCAGTCTGTGGTAAATATGGAGGAGAAGTTGATCACTTTGGTGCAAGGCTACCCTGCCGCTGCGCTCTTTAAAGCTGGCACAAAAAGCACAAAACTAGCGCCCTGGCCTCGTGTTTTTCAGGCGGTTCAAGACACGGCATGTGTATGGCTCCATAATTGGCCCTGAATCCGAGACACTGCCTTGACAAAATGCTGTGGAAAAAGAAGCGCATAAATAGCAAATTTAGGGTTTGAAAATAAGAAAAAAAAGAATATTCGCATTCAAAAATTGAAAACCGATTACCCACCCAACTTAGTATCCAAATAGTCAAATATTTGGGTCCAGCTTCCAACTTTGGCCCTCATTTCTATCAGGAGAATCTAAGTCCTAAAATCACTAAAATTAAGCCCAAGTCTGTGAGACAGGTTGGAAGCAAAACAGCTTTTGCAATCCAAACCACTTTAGTTGGAGGTAAAACTACAAGTGAGCGCACTCTAAATGTTGGTAACAATAATCCTACATTACTCACAGAAAAGATGTGAGTGCACAATTACAGCAAGACTGGCAGATGAAATTGGATCTCTAAATTCGGATGAATCTTTATAATGGACATTTTGAGTACTTATTTAATCGGTCATCTTTGTTTTCTCTTCCAAATAACTTTGGCTGACCAGTCGTATGTATGATTGCTACTTTTTCTTGCCCCGTCTGATTTCTTGTTCAACTTCAATCTAACTCGCTATGTTCGTAAGCGGTTTTCCTGAGAAATGAGAAACATTTTGAGTGCCCCGACTTCACTTTTACCTCCAAATAAAGTGTTTTAGACAGACGCGGTCTTAGATAAAGTTTTGGCTTGCTGACTTTGTTTTTGCGTTCTTGCCTCCGAGATCTCTGCAACAAATTGGTGAGTACAAGGCTACTATAACCCATTAAAACTAATGGCAAACAAGCAAATACCATCTCTTTAAGGAGTATGTGAACACGCTAGCCAACTGTAATAAAGAGATGAGCTCATATTACAATTATTAGGGTACTTATACAGTAACTGATATACAGTATGCCGAACCATAACCTCGTCTGTTTAATCCCATTTTGTGTCTCCTTTGTCTCATCCGTACAGTGGAAACAGGGTCATCCCCCAGCCTGCAACATTAAACCTCCTCACCCCTCCGTATAATGCACCTTAACCTCTCCCCTCTCACACACAAGGTCAATTTCGCGCTGCTTTCAAAGCCATAAAGTCGCACTGAGCGAGTCATGCTTTGGGCGCCGGACGACTGAGGAATGTGTACAGCACAGATACACACACAGACAGTCACAAACACACACACTCATTTGGCCATGTGTGGGCAGAGACTTGCACACAGCTTCATATGAGTTTTTGTTTTTCAGCAAAGACCCTCTGCTCATCTCTGGTTCCCTCTGTTATTCTTGTTTTTTTCCTTTCTTCCATCCTCTTTGTCTATATGTTTTCTTACTGTCTCTGCTTCTCTCTAACAGACACAAACGCTCGCATGCTGTGTTGTTGGTCTGAGTGGAGAAAGGGGGCCTGACCCCGAGAAAAGAGGAGGGGTGGGGAGACTTTTGACGCCAGGAGTCCAGACCGCAGCTAATGGAGAACAGGTGTGGCAGAGAGAATGAGAGGAAAAGAGAGAAAGAGGAGAGGAGAGGAGAGGAGAGGAGAGGAAGAGTAAAAAAAAAAGGAGTGAAGGAGTTGAGGAAGGCAGCACGAGGATGGATGCTCCTTTCAGTGAGGTTGAAATAAGGTTTGTGTGTGATAGTGTGTCCATACATTCAGTGCATACAGTGTTTCCGACTAACCGTGTGTGTGTGAGTAGCTGTAGAGACTCTGACTGGGAGGTGTGCTGCCAAAGTTCGAGTAGCCAAGGATTCCCGTCTGTCCTGGAGAGTGACTCAGGCCATCTTCTGTTTTAATGTCTAAGTATGGAGAAATGCCATTGAGGGATCACAGGAAGAATTAGTCTTGTTTCATGCAAAAAAACGAGCCAACGTGCAGAATTATAGGCAATTATACAAAGGAAAAATATTCAATTTAGATCTTAAATTATGCAATAATTAATTGTAACTAAGACTGTATTTCCAGTACAGCTAATAACAATTACCAATACCACTGTAGACGATGCATACTTTTGATTGGGAGGCTGATAGAACAAGTTACGTCTTTGCTTGCAATTTAATTAGATGCCTAAAGAGCACAGTAGGGCTGCAACTAACGATAATTTTCATTGTCCACTAATCTGCCGATTATTTCTTCGATTAGTCGACTAATCATTTTATCGAAAAATGTGTTCAAATGTTGAAAAATGTCGGTCTGTCTCTCCCAAACTCCAAAATGATGTCATCTAATGTCTTGTTTTGTACTCACGCCAAAGGGTTTTTGTTCACCGTCATGGGAGAGTGTGTAAAGCTGCCAATATTTGAACATAAGAAGCTGCAATAAGAGTATCTGGGGTACTTGTATCGTACTTTTCTATGAAAAATGACTCAAACCGATTAGTCCACTACTAAAATAGTCACCGATTATTTTAATAGTCGATTAGTCATCAATTAGTTGACTAATCGTTGCAGCCCTAGAGCACATTATTGATTGTGCATACCTGCCTGTTTTGGTTATTATGTTTATCAGGGGCCTCATTACAGAAATCTTCACAGTCTGAAATCCTATCTTATCTAAGTTTATGATGACATCTAGGAATTTAGCTGTTACAGACACCTCCTTACTTAGTGTTTTCCCAAGTTAGGAATCCTAAATTAGGATGGCATGAACCCTGTCCTAAATTTAAAAGAACTGCCAAAAATAACAGCAGCACTGTTGCTAGTTTTGTATGGCAATGACAATGAAAATGGGGAACAGCATGAACACTGAAATATAATGACTGAAAGGCCACTTAGATCATATGAGGCTCGTTAAATTTCCTGGACCATGTACTAATGGGTATATTTTGACAGCCAAGATGACTAATCAATTATTAATTAATAAGAATTAATATAATTTTGAATATGATTGACGTCCTTCACTGACACAATTAGTCTCTTCAACCCCTCATGGCCAAAACTGACACCCTACCTACCTACCTACCTACCTACCTACCTACCTACCTACCTACCTACCTCCCTCGTCCATGATGCCAAACAAAATGTTGTAACGCATTGACGCATATAAGAGCAACAGAACTCCGACAGCTACAGAAAATAACCCTGCCATTAGCTTGCATTAAGTGAAAGGTTATCCATGGCAGATGACTTTAACTATTTCATTACACACAACAAAATTTCATGACTTTTTCAAAACTTTAAATGATTTGAACTAATTCTATGACTTTTCAAGGCCTGGAAAATGTGATCATAAAAATTCCATGACTTATTCAGGTTTTCCATGACTGTGGGAACCCTGAAACTTAGACACAGGCATGACAGGATGAGTGCCAATTGAAGAACCAAATTTACAGTTATAGGTAAGATTTCTTAAAGGCTCAGTGTGTAAGATTTAGGGGGATTTAGAGGCATCCAGAGGAGAATTTCTTCTGTGTTCATTGGAGGTTTTTACCAGGAGACAAAGTATCTGCAGATGTCGCTTCCTTTTCAAAACCACCAAACCCTGTGATTTAAACTGGTTAAAACTATTTCTATTGTGTTGTTGCTTCCAGAATAAAACAAAAGAGAGGACTTTAAAGAAACAGACAGAGCTGCACTAACTTGCAGAATCTGATGTAAAAAGTCTGAGATTGAACAGCTCCTGATTGATCGCATCACAAACGTTTACTTTTGAGATGATTGTCAATATAATGCATTTATATATTAATCTATACAGCTGTATGTTTGTTTGTACTCACTGTAAGATGGCATGCTGTAGCCCTGTGTGTGGTGAGTGTAAGGTGTGTATGGCCCTGCAGGCTGGAGGGCGGGGCTGTACTGGGTCTGTCCATACGCAGCCATGACACCTCTCCCCGTCAGCTGATCTTAAAGAAGGAAGAAATAAAGAGGAAACTTAAATTGATGAGTTCTCTTTCTCTTCATCTGCTACAATAGAACATCTGTTTTTGTTACGGTTAGAACTGAGTGTGAGGAAGAACACACTAAACACGCAAAGGAATTACAGAGCAAAGGAATTAATGCCACACACAGAACAAATTGAACTCTGATGGGATGCATACACTCCTTTTTTTTGGCAAGAAACAATTACAGAAAAAACTTAACTGGACTTAATTATAGGAAAAGAAAACCTCCAGTTCTTGGTCAAATAAACTTAAATAAATTAACAATCACACAGTTTGAGGCTAAACCACATCGATTTTAAAGGATGTGGCAGTTTCCTTGTGATTTCAATCAACAGACATTAATAGTGCATAGTTAGCTTTTATTTCTATTATTAAAAACACAGGACATACTTTGCAGTGCATGGCAAGAAGTAATGCAATTCCACTTCTTAAATTTCAGTCAGAAATGTAATGAAAAACTCACCTGCAGTAGGTAAGTTTGTAACAGATAATAAGAAGCCCTGTGAATGAGGCAAAAAGAGAACATTTAGCACTGAAACCAGTTAGAAAATGAACAATTATACAAAATAAAACTTGAATTAAATGGAGTTGTAATCCAGTGCTATTCACATATTAAGCAATACATTAAATGCAGAAAGTGCACCTTCAACTCCACCAAAAATATGGTAGGTTTTTAAAAAAGGCATTATTGTCTATTTAAAATAAAATACTGTATAACTGACTTACTTTATTAAAATTTTGAAAACATCTAAGTGCTACAAGTATATCAGTGTTTCAACAATCTTTAAGTTGGGCAGCATATCCATTAGGGGGAAAAAACTGATTCACTCAAATATGGCGATGTTGAATTTTTGTTATTTTTTTAATGCCTGTATCGATATATTTCAAATGTGGCGGTGGAATATGTTGATGCTTTTGTCATGGTAGTCTACAAGTAACATGCATCCATTAAAAACCCCCAAACAAAAACAAAAACAAAAAACAAATCTAGAGCGAGAAAACAGAAAATGGCAGACACTCTGAGGACACAGACCTTCACTTGCTCGAATAACAACTGGAATTTTGCCAGCCCAGCGTAAACTTCACAACAGAATCAGCAAACTTTAGGTTGCTGCCATTACACAGATTAGTCCCAGCCCGCTGTGGGGTCGGCGCTGGCTTAATTTGACTTGCTAAAGCTGCTACTAAAGCTCCCTTTTCAGAGCTTTCGCCTGCTCTCCCCCAACGAACAGTGTCCTAGTGCTTCACTGAAATAAAATTGTTTTAAAAAAGACCATAAAATAGGTATTTGTTTATTTAGCACTTTTCTATGCAGTATATGATGCTGCTGATACAAAAGTCAGATAGACTGACTCATGTGTTGTGCAAAGTTTCTGGAATTATGCCTCATGATTTACAGTCACTGTAGGTGTATAATTCAACTCTTGTCCATAGTCTAATGTTAAAGAATTGCAATAAATCGTAATATCAAATATCAAAACTTGTAGAATTGCATTATTTGAAAACCACGATACATATTGAATCAGTAGCCAAGTATCGTGGTAGTATTGAATCAGGAGATAAGCATATCGTCCAAGCCCTAATATCCATTATAATCAGGATATCATTGCTTGCCTTCATGAGAGAAGATCTTCTCACTCCCAAAGATGAGCGTGTGTAGTCCTGATAACTTAGCATTATGCAGGGTTTGTTTAAAGAGTATATAATTAAATTGGTAATTTCACATACAGACTGCATTATTGCAGTAACTCCAGTGAGCAGCCACTTTTCATCTAAAGCACTTTACTCTTTTTCCCTTTGTAGTTCTGCCCTCTCACCTGGCTCTGTAGAGAGAGCTTTATCCTCTTTATCCCGTCAAACTGCTGTTAGTCAGGTTCGTCTCGAGCCGTCAACTCTCCTGTGGAAACAATAGCAAACCCACACCATCAGGACACAGGTATGCAGGTGACTGACACATGGCAACGTGCCCCGGGCTCTGTTGCTGCAGGACGAGGAGGAGGAGGAGGAGGGGGTAGAAGCTATTTTCTCCATGCACACGGTTCAAGAGGTGAATAGAAAGAGAGAGAACAAGATGAATGTGGTATTGATGTGACGAGCGTGGTCATTAGAGACCGACAGTCAAATGATGAGTTACGGGAACCTGACAGGTAACATTGTTTCTGAGGAAAATGTTACAAAATGATCCATTAACGCTGACTCACTCTGCTGTTTGGCACCGATGCCATACGTGCTGTGTGTATGTGTGTGTGTACTTAAAATAATAAACCAGAAAAGGAGGACCAGAACAAGGCACTGATCCAAATTGTGTCAGCTCAGTTGAATTTCTCATGTATGTCAGGTAATGCAATGAGATAACAAAGCTTTAACAGGAAGACACAGGAGAGATTTTGCAATACAACTTCTACTGAGGTGGCTATCGCTTTTACTGTAATCCTCTGATTGTATTAGCATCACATTAACAAGACGTATGGAGGGATAATGGGGTGAGAGAGGAAAAAGAAGAAAGGGAGAAAGGAAGGGGAGGTCCCGACTCAGTAAACTGGAGGTCAAAGGATCAATGCCACATGAATTAGTCTGAGCCGGAAGCTGAATGAGGTCAGGCTGTTTGACAGCAGGTCCTAAAGCTAACTCACATAAGGTACCATCTGAAATTGTGTTGGGAAACTTTCAGGTAGAATCAGGTCATCTACTAACATTATAGCACCAAAAATATGTGGGCACTACCCACAGTGTACATTTGAGTTTTTTTATTTGGTGCTTTTAACTTCGTACAGCAGCCTGGGGAATGTCCTATATGGTGGCCAACAATGGCAAACGCGCACAAATTATTTCCATTATGAGAAACACCCTGCAGCATCAGAGAGGATGCCAATTCAAAAGCACGTACAAAAATCTGAAACAATTACAACAACAGAAACATGCTACAGAAAGCCAAGACAAATACATCAACAGCAACCACGCCACAAGCACAAAAATGATACAAAGTCAAAAACGCACAGACAAAATGCAACCGAAGAACACTGCATATCCAGTCAACACAATGAAAGTTCTCCAGGCCTGTAGGGGGAGTGCTAAGTAGGTTAGCGTGATTTTAACTTGACAGAGAGAGAAAGAGACGGGAAAAGAAAGTTTGTCATTGAACAAGATGAAACCTCGCGAGCACGGAAATGCCAAAAAATGCAGTTCCTTGAACGCCCACTTGAGACTGGCTCCAAAAGCTAGTCAATCCCCCTTGGCCCTGCATGTTAAAATGCCCTACTTTACAGCAGAATTAAACATGTTTACAGCCAGGTATGAAAAACTGTTTGGTCTCTAAAGCTAATTCCAACATTCATGACAACTGTACAGGGATGCATTCTTTTTACAACTCACCCAGTTACATTTTATTACGGCTTAAAGTTACACATAACTTTGGCTGTCTGCTGATAGTGTGCTCGGCTTCCTAGTAAGAGCCACCCCTCACTTTATCCACAGTGCCAGTGGTCGCTTGTAGCTCAAAAAAAAAAAAAACAAGATGGTGATGGCTGAAATGTTGACTGTGAGCTGTCTTGGGTGTGGCTTCAAAACAGGAGTCCACAAACTGATGGGTGACATCACCGTAGCTACGTCCATTATTTTTATAGTCAATGTTTTTGAAGTGAGGTACATATTCTTTTTCGCATTTGGCCTTTGACTTTGACTTTATTATAAAAAAGCAACAGAATACATAGCTTTTTTTGTAACCCCGCTTGAAAAACAAACACTCTCTTGTTTGGACCCTCTTTCTTAGTGCTCCCCCTAGAGGCCTGGAGAGCTTTGGTTGTGTCGACTGGATTCGCAGCATTTTTCGGCTGCATTCTTTCAAAATAGGTTTGTGTTTTTGACTCTGCATTGTTTCTGTATGTGCAACAAGTTTGCTGTCAATGTGTTTGGCTTTCTGCAGCATGCTTTCTCATTTGCAACACATGTTGTTGTATTTGTTTTAGATTTTCATATGTGTTTTACATTTGGCATTGTTTTCGGAGCTGCAACATGTTTCTCCTCATGGAAATGTTTCAGGCCATTGTGTTGCATTTGCATTTCTTCGTAGATATCTACTGTTTCAACTTGCACAAAAAGAATCAATGATAGTTTACTGACTTTGATGTGAAAAATTCTGACTGGCCCAGCACAGAGCAACAACGTCAAATCCATCCAAAACATTTGGGCTGAATTGTAAAGCCAAGTGCGAGCCAGGCCTTATCGCCAAACACCACTGATGCTCGTGTCTGAATGTGAGCAAAGCCTTGTAGCCAGCTTTCAAAATCATGTGGGAAGCATCCCCAGAAGAGTGTAGTCTAGTATAGCAGCACATTAATTCAAATAGTTTTGGAATAAGATGTTCAACAATCACATGCAGGGTGTAATGTTCCAGTGTCCACATGCTTTGTTCACATACATTACAGCCACTCATGTTTATTCGTGCTACACGACAGTGCACAACAGGCTGAACTACCTCTCCCTCTTTCTCTTTTCCCTCTGTCTCTTTCAGCTTCTGTCTGTCTCTTTGCCTCTGGGCCATTCCAATCTGGCAAAGCTGCAGCTAACTGCCTGACCCCTGACCTCGCTGACAACACCACGACAGAGACAGATGACAAACATGAATTACAAGGGCAGTGGGGTTTTACAGCGGGAGAGGATGAAGGTGAGGGGGAAAAGTAAAAGCTTTCTGAGAATTGCAACAATGTGCTGATCAATAGAAGCTTCACTGGCATCACAAAATCTGAGAAGACATTCACTATCCTCTGTGTTGTTCTCATGTCATTAACAGGAGTGTTTTATGACAGAATTGCAGAGAAAACAGGTCTCGTGTTGTGTCAGCTCCAGCTGATGGAGCCGCCCTCCTGGCTTTAAAAACACCCAAGACAGCTCGCAGTGTTTTCTGAGTAAATACGTATATTTCAACCACGAAGCAGCCACAAAGACTCTCAGGCCAAAAATCCACCTGCACATCTGTGTAACTGACCATAAAATAAACACAAATAAAACGGACCATAAATGTGACACTCAGGAGGTGATTTAGTGTTTGTCATGTTAATAACAGCCTTGTGTAAAAAGATGAGCACAAAACCAAGATACAAATTGGAGATATGTCTCATCTCATAAGTTCCAAGTTAAGATCACTCTGATTTTAACCAAAGCCTCAAATTAAGCAACAACTCATGTCTGTTTTTTCCAACTTCAACTGAATTTGAAATCTGGGCTTTAAATCTAAACCATGTGTTCGTGTTTATCATTTTTATTTTCCACTTCAGAAATGACCCTTCAGATCTCGCAGCCTCAGAGATCCTGATCTGACCTCTATCACAGGCAGAGTGCGAGGCTCCAGAGAGTAACGCTGATCCCGCAGCACAGAGGGAAAATGTGGAAAGTGCTGTTGTGCTTTGCATTTCCTATCACTTTCCAGGGAACAAACGTGAAAGCAACGCCTGTTCCGAGTCCTCTTGACTTCAGCTGCATCCCTGCAACAGTCTGTATGCACACACACGCATGTACACACAAAAACACAAAAAAACTGTGTGTGATAGGGAAGGCACTTCCTGGTTCAGGGTGAGGCCTGGGAGGAGGGCGCACAAGGCCATGGGAACTGCAGGACACCGGAGGAAGATGAGCGGAGCTCAGCAGAGATGTGGAGAGCCGAGGGCTGAAACTAAAGCTAAAACAAACCCAGCGGGGCCACAGGGGGCCACGGGGCCACAAGGCCAGTCCCACCAGCTTCACCTGGGTCCCAGGGTTCTGCTACACCACTGCTTCTTTCACGGATATCAAATTCTAGCCTTTGTGCTGATGGATTACATCACAGGATGGTGTATTGTGCTTTAAGTTGAAATGTCATTTGATACAGTTAAAGGAATACGCTGAGCTTATGCAAATTTACCTGCTGTTCAACTGAAATGTTGAGTAAAAAAAAAATAAGAGAGAGACACAAAACCGATTCAACTTGGTTCATTTATCAGGCCAGAGACATCTAAAGGAAAAAGTGTTTCTAGTTGTTCCAAATGACCTAAACAGCCCAGACGCCAAAAGAAAATGTTGGCTTTGTGCATATCTGCAAACCATGCATAACCTACATGTGTACTTTTCATACATATCAGCGTTTCTGAAGTACCATAACACATTAGCTGACTTTGTTATCAGGAGGTGGAGGGGATGGTGAATGATGTGACATTTAGGCAAAACACCTGCCAAGCCACAGACCACTGTTTGAGACCAACAAGGAAAAACAACGGTTGCTCTTTAGTGAGTCCTGCCTGTGTTTCCAGCAGCTTTTTAGCCGCCAGATGTTTTTAAGTGCACCATTGCTCTTTTTCCACAAGCTTTGTTTCCAGACATGATTGTGCCCCCAATTAAGCCAAGTCATATAGGGCTGCCCCCTAATAATCGACCAAACATTAGTCGACCAGAAAGGTCATTAGTCGGCAAGATTTCATTGGTCGCTTAGTCGCAGAAAAAAAAAAAAAAGTGAAATTCTATTAGGAGCTGCGCCTTGTCAAGTAAATCGGAGTGGACCATGTGGGAATTTAATTTGAAAGGACAGACACAGGAAGTGGCCACGCTCAGCAGTCAGACAGGAGTCATGCTGATTTACATGTCTGGTACCTGCGGTTATTCCACAGGCTAGTTAATAACATGTCGGGCAGGAAATCCAAAGTGTGGGATCATTTTGAGAAGGTGAAGGACAAACCCAAGGTGATATGTAAACTCATCTTCATTGGTCGACTACAAACATGACGTATCATCTGAAACATGGAAGTAGCTACATGCCCATTAGCCACTTAGCACAATCATTACTGCTTTGCTGACAGCGTCATTAACAGGCGGCTCGCTCAGTGTGTGACGTGCACTTGTAGATAAGATATAGGCCTATATTAATGAAGG